TATAAACGCCGGATTTGTTCAAGCTCAAGTAGCACAAACGAAAGACAAGCAAGACTCCGCCACAAAAACACAAAAGCTTTTAATTGTAAAACCAACTTACATTCTATACGCGTTGATCGTTTTAGACATGTTTTTTCGAATACGTCTTCTTAATTCCAATGAGCACCTTGTTCATCACCTCACGACCGTTTAAATTGAGCGTCTATACAAAAACCTTATTTATATTTTTGATTATTGTAAAAGTGCAAGGCTTTATCACAAGACGGAATATTAGAGAATGCAAAAATATATTTTTGGTCTACAATCGCACCTCAATCAATAATAAGGCCCCCTAGAATATCGTTCCAAAATCACGCCACCTTCCCTTTCCACCTCATAGCTCGAAAAAGGGTGTGCCACTTTGGGTAAAAACGCGAAAACTGACGTCGTTGCATCTAACATACTGCGTCGCGACGCCGCGCTTGCGCCCCACAGCACAACGAACCCCATCATAATTTTGCACCCCTTCGATCGGAAACTACTGCACGTGTGACGGCGGGGGCGTACAGTCTTCGCAATGACTCACGCCCGATTTTTACAGCCCCCACGTCAGGCGCATCCTTGTTATTTGCCAAGCGTGACGATTGAAAAATACTTACGTGTTGCTATCATCCATGCCACGGGAATGCACTGCTCACCTGCTATGGCAATCAGTAGACCATAGCGTAACCTGCGACATAAATAAATTACAAAAATTGCCGACCAGGAAGGGAGGACACCAACACTTGAACCGTGCCCTCCAAGGATCGCGGAGGACTCTTACTCACCTTTATTTGGCAGCCGAGTGCAAAAACACTTAAATTGGGCTATTTTTGACACTACAATCACTTTCTTCTGACATTAATGGCTGCGCTTTTGATAACTCTGTTCTCATTCCTTTTTCTCTCTCGGTGTTAGAAGAGTGACAGATTGCTGAATCAGGAGCGCGAGAGCCATCTGCCGGATGGCACTAAGCAAACCACAACTAACAAAAATAAAGGCTACAATTGGAAAAACGCGTCCTATTAATTAATTCATTAAATATAATTATTGGATGGTTAGGAGTAAAAGTAAGAGTGTGAACTGTGAAGGCCCTATTGTGCCAATTATTTTGTCAATTTAGGGATTTAAGTTTTATGAGGTTGTGAATGGCACACTTGTATAGTTCGTCGAAAAGTCAGGCGACTATCTGCATATGGCGATTCAGTAAAACAGCAGCAGTTTAGCTGTGTTGTTAATTTTTCTCCTATTGTGCCTTCAAATTGGCATTTTAATTAGTTTAGTACGTTATCGTGACGTGTCGTTTAATTGTTTGAACGTTAATTCGGTCATAGATGGTCCGTGGAAGGTGCTACAAATAAAAAGTGAGATCACGTTACGTCCTCCAGCATACTTTTTGCTTATTTTTTGTACCTAAAAATAAATTCAAACTAGGTATTTTTGCAGCTAACTCCAATCGGGCAATTTTCTTGATCGACTCTTGAACGGACCTTTTTCTTTAGTTTTTTTTGCTTCTTGGGAGTCATCGTCCAGAAGGGCGCTACCATTTTATATGACTTTAGTAAGCCACAAAGGTAAGTGATAGTGTTATCAGTTCGATTTTTGCAATAAAAGCATGACGTAACATCCAATTTCCATAAACAATTCGAGCACGCTTTTTATTTTTTTATACGAATTGCGAAGGCGGCGCAGGTGTCACGTGTCTAATTGCGCGGTCGATTCAAAAAACCCAGTGGAGTAGTGTTTGTGGGGGTTGTAATTATCCAGTCGAGCAGTGGCGTGCGCGATATAAATAATCTTGTCGCATTGTGGTGATCGATATGGCCGTGGCATTGCGCCGGTTCGACGACATCGATTCGCGCCGCGACGCTTACGTGGCCTCAGTCTCGGTGCGGCGCCCTGAAAAACCTCAACATAACTGCTCTCCAAGACACGATCGAGGGGCAAACGGCCTCCCCCATGCCCATGCTGTCGTCTTTTCACGATGGTGAGACCCGTAAGTTAAAATCGAAGTGGGCAAAGATGGCCTGACACACATGTCAAAAAATTTTCATTAAATGTAGTTTCGTTCGAAAATTTTTCGTCGTCCCGATGTACCAACGACCTATTATGGTACTTAATTATAAGGAAACGGACGGTTTTGTCGCATTTTTAATGGTCACGCAACTATTTTACCACAAGTTGTGATTACAAACAGACCATATGGTAACCGGAAAACAGGCAGATTCGATGCGAATTTTGCGTTAAAGGTAAGACGGGGGCCTTTCCGGAAAAGGGATGCGCCGGCGCGTGACGTCACCATGTTTCTGAATTTGTTTCCTTGTTAATAGTTTTTTAAAGTGACCGAGTGTCATTTAGAAAAAAATTCATGAAGTTCCTGACGACGGGTTCGCTGCGCCTCTGTCCCATACTGTGAGTTTTTCGTTAAAATTTGTGCCATTTCATTAACTCGAAATTGCACAAACGCCGCTTAGATAACAATATTTGCGATAAAATGATTATTTTCTCTCGAAATGAAATGGAAAAATTCAAGTCGGTTGTCAAGTTTCTCAAACGTTTACTAGAGTGATAACGGTGGATTTTTACTTTAAATATTTTTCAGCATTAAGCTGTTGTAAAAGAAAAAGTTGTAAAGTTAATAATATATTAGATAATTAATTTTTTAAATGAATAAAATTTTAGAAACACGTAAAAGATAAATA